ACTTAATAATCTCTCAAATTTCAACTAATCACAAAGTCATATGCTAAGATATTAACCCATTGACACCTCTGCCAGGCTCACCCAGCAATGAGCAGACCACAGCCTTTGTGTCATCATCACTTTTCAAACCAGATGATGTTCTTGATAATCAGCTCATAAAGTGAGAAAAGATCTTTCAAAGCATCATTAAGCCAAATACCCTGTTGTGGTCACAAACGAAATGAATCGAGTGATTGTGCTCAGTCACGATATTGTACACCACATTGAACTATAATAATTGTGTCAACTCATCTTCCGATACACTTTGTAATATCCAGTTTCTTTTCTTTTTATTAATTAGGAAAAGCCTTTTCATCACCAAGCAGTTTACACTTAAACACACCACAGATGGAGGAAAAACCAACACGTAAGTTATATGTTATTTACTACATATGAACAACCTTCCTTATATAACATATATAATAAGGTGGCGGGAGTAAAGTCTATCACAAGTTTATTTCTTGTATTGCGCTTTTCTTGACAAAAAACAAGTTCCTGATTACTTCAACTTGCTCCCCATAATCTGCTTACTGTTTAACAATATATAAAACTTGTCTTTCCAGTACTGTGCACACATTGTAAAGTAGCACCTTTACACTCCAAAACTGACCACCATTTACTTGCAGTTGAAAAACAAAAGTTTATTGCAGTCAAATCTGACAGACCATAAAAACCTAAAATTATTTCTCGAATGTGTATTCTGTTGGAATCAATCAGATGCAATTATGCTTCGGTTTCATCTACCTTCAAATTCCTCACAACCAGCTTTACAGAAATAATTTCACACTTTGTCAGGTTTGAATGTAAGTAAATCTTTATTCCTTCTTTATTTGCAAAAAAAAAAGAAAGTCATTTCAACCATTTCACTAACACTTGCTTTCTTTTCTTTAGCCCCCAACAGCTACAAAACTGTCTCTGGATATATCCACTCAGTATCTCCTGTGAAGAAAGCTGCCAATTCACAAACAAAATACTTCAATTGTAGTATTCAAACCAATGACACAGTGGTTAGGACAGTCTGCTTTAATCCTGACAAGAAGCCTCATCTGAAA